GGGGTTCCTCCTTGCGCCTTTTAGGGTTTGAAATCAGTGTTTTGGTCCCGCTTAGGGTAATAAAAACAAGAATCCCCACTAATTTAGTTGTTTGGTCCCTTTTAGGGTATACGGCGACCCTAAGCCATCATTATAAGATCAACAACAGCCATAACTGCTAATAAGATGATTGATCTCAACGAGCCGACAGCGTTTGATACTTGTGGAAAACTAATACAAATAAAATCGGGAACCAAAACAAAATGACCTGTTATTGATTGGTCATCTCATAATACAGATCCCTTTTAGGGGTCATTTTCAGAATTTCCAACAAGGGCCCCAGACTTTTATATTAGCCCACCAAAATCGTCAAAAATAACTCATTTTTGGTCAAAATGCATGGACTATAGCCCACCAAAATCGTCAAAAATGACCCATTTTTGGTCAAAATGCATTGTGGCAAAAGAATAAAAGGAAAGTCTTTGGAACCAGAGTAAATCTCTGTCTTATGATCTAGTTCTAATTGCTAAACTGGGACAATTTTAAACAATATAAAACAGTTTTTGGTCAAGTGCGTTACATTTCAAATSAGAAAAGATAGAAATTTCAGCTTTCACTGAAAAACACTTAAAATTCAAAAATCAGCACCCCCCTTTTATGTATGGTCAAAAAATTGACATCCTCCCCTATTTTCCAGATCCTAAATTTTCACATCCGGCCCCCTAAATTTTTGCTCGTACAAAACTCCCAGCAACACCTGGGGCCTCACCAGGCATCAATAGATTCATACCCAGTCTCTCTCGAGTTACTTTCTCTTTCTTTTYGATAAATTTTCTACAATGGCTGGAGGCAAAAAGCTTACGAAAGAAGACGAATTATTGCTTCAAAACTTCAGTAGAAACGTCTCTACGAAGTCGAATGTTCTTTTCTATGCAAATGCTCTGATTGTGTCAGCTATTCCATTATGTAAGTAAATGAAAAATCATATTTTTTAACTACTGAAACTTACACGCGACACGTCTCGGTTTATGATCATGTGTTCGTATTTGATCGTTTTTTCTTTCACAATTCAGGGCTGTTTTGGCGAATTCATCAAATGGATCCCTATTCGTCTGGTATTCTTTTTGCAGTCATGACATTAGTTAGTACTTGGCTAGTTGCTTTTGCCTACAAGAATGTTAAATTCCAGCTGAAACACAAGTAAGCCGGTTGAAACCTTAATCTCTGTTTACGTCTAGGTATCCTATTGGTCCATTACTTGTTTTAACCGTACAGACTTTTGAAGTTTATTTTGCTAATTTGAGGAGACAAATGCTWTAAAACAATCTAGGTTTTCCTCTCTTTATTATTAAAGCTTGTTTCCATTGATCATGTGGGCTTTTTACACTATTAATCAACTTAGCTCGATCAATGAAGCTTATTTATAGTCACTGATTGAAAGAACTGAGTAAAAAATAAGTTGATCGGAAAAACATAATTTTATGCTTATTTTTATTGCTGTTGTGATCTATTACAATATTATTATCCTATTATTGCTTGCTAAATTTAGACAGTAAATGTCATGAAAAGTTTTGATGTAAAAATAGAATTACCCAACARACTTTTAGAAAATGTATGTTTCTTATGCCAGTTGTAGTCATCACTTGGCTAGACTATAGAATCAAGGGCCAATTTTAAAGATATCTCTCRAGCACTGGCTCRASGGCTCGGCAGTCAAATGAATAAATTATAAAGTCCCACTGCTGAGCCGGCGAGCCACTAAATAAAATACTGCTAGACACATGAATTCCGAAAAGTTGCTGTCAACAGTAAAAACTGATTGAAAATCACTACCGAGCTGACGAGCCACACAGATTAAAAGCCACTCCGATTTGGGCCCTGTATACTGTAGCCGCTCCCATCACTACATACATTTTGATACATTTTGATTTTGTTTCCATGCTGTTATAATATTAGAATTACATTGTTACCATTTTATTCATATCACATTCTATGTTCTAGAATTGCACAAAGAAGAGATGGGGCCATAACAAAGGAAGTCTCCCAGGAATTGGATCCCAACAAAAAGATGTCCAGACAGGAAAAAGATGAACGGTAAGGAGCAATGTGATTGATTTTGAAACCGTTGAATTTACTTAAAGGATTAATAAATTTACACCAAGAAGTTATGCTCACTCACTCAYTAGGCCCTGCCCACACATTGACTGATTCCAATCTTGGAAATAATTAAAAATGCTTGGAATAATGGTGCATGTTGTAAAAAAAAATTAAATATGAAAATTTCTGTAAGTGTATGGACTAGGCCTCAGTCACAAATATCTTGATGATGTAATCACTACATCCACTGCATATAACAAAAGACAGTCTTGATTTCTTTATAAGCAAGTTAACAAAAAATATTTGAGAATTTGTGTRTATCTGTTATGCCCTGTTGTGATATTTGTGCTGTAGCTGTTGTACTAACTGAACAGGCATTCAAAGGCTGGTTCAAAGTATCAACACCTTTAGTTGGATAGTATTGTTATTGGGATTACAACAGAATATTTGTTTGATTTGAGATCTTTTTAGATAAATRATAGTACTGCACATTTTTCTGAAAACTATGTTAGTCACAATAGAATCATCTAACATTAAATTTGAAATGAAAGCAAATGGTATGTTGTGACATAGCACTAACATTTCATTCTACAGTGCCATARAATAAAATTGTTTAGGACTGGAGGACATGTATCCATGATACCCTGTGTCAGTTTGAATAGTGGCTGTACAGAAATAATTTATGTAATACAAATACAATACTTATAATAACACATCTTATCCTGTATAGCATTTTGTGGAAGAAAAATAAAGTTGCTGATATGGAAGCTATGACATTCTCCATCTTTTACAACAATGCCTTGTACCTATTCCTGGTCTTGTTTGCTTCRTTCTATGCTTTGAGATCCTTCAACCCCTCAGCGTATCCTTTTATGCATAGCACAGCATACAGTTTAATGTCATTTATGAATTGTTTTAATGTTAACAGTATGATAATGTTATGAATATTATCCTTAACATCACTTTAGGAACTATTTGATATCTACCTCTGCTGCAAGTGGTATCTTGGCTCTTCTCTCAACTGGCACATCATCATCTTAACTGTGTAATGCATGTTACAGTGAAAGCATGTCCACTAGAATCAGAGCATTATAATAAATTGTTTTATTGTTATTTTGTCTATTTGTGATTGTATTTTTCACAGGGGTTTGTATAAATGCCTTTTAGCCATGCATGGTTACAAAATTCACTACACTGAAACGTTTTGAGCTTACTAATTATTCTAGTTGTCTAAGGACTATTAGTATTACCATACTAGTGGACTATTGCAAAATCTACTTTCTGATTAATTAATTAAGCGGTAAACTATTGCGAGCTGTGACGGTTTTTCTAAAGAAASAGTTATGTAAAAAGATAAGTTTAACTCCATAAAAAAGTAGATGAAATAACTTACTGACATTTTGGATGTTAGATTAACGTCCTAAACGTCATTAAGTTAGTTCACCAAATTTTACGATGTTAAATTTATCTTTTTACAAAACTATTCTACTCGGTGTCTATATTCAATAGTCGTCTACTAGTGAAAAGTGCCAAAAGTGTTTTTCTTTTAGAAATATTGCAGATCAAATCACTGTGTTAAGGACCATTTTAAGTCTTTTAACTCAAACCAGCTTTCAACAGCTTTTAATGAATTGATTTTTACTTGTCAAACATGACAGGTGTGTCAAACAACGTTGTGTGGATTTTTAGCAATAAAAACATTTTGTTATTTATATGCATTTCATTTTTTGTCCCACTAGTATGGTAATACTAAAACAATTAGACTTCTCAGACATGTGGACTGCRAACTGATAGCCTTTGGCCTCATGCGCTATCAGCTTGTAGTCCACTCACCCTAGAGGTCTAAGTGTTATGAGCATGGTCAAGAGGTCAGTTGGAAGTAGATTGGGTTAATAGTGTTAGCTAGCGGTCATGATAATGCAACTGACAGTGTCAAAAGCAGCATAGATACCAAAAGCTTGACAAAGTATTACTTGGTGTAGGCCTAGAAATTCAGAGACAAACATTTGGTGACATCAAATTTTAAAATCATTTTACACTCATGACTGCTCTTTCCTGAACCTCACCAAACTGTACTAGATTGTCTTGGTCACTGACACCCTTGTTCAACTGGTGAATGATGTATACATGTGTCCTCTCTAAAAAGGAGTATTATGG